GCTATGATGAATATTTGTATGGTTTTTAGTGTGGATATGTTTTCATTTCACTTATGTAAATATCGAGATGAGTGGAATTACTGGATTGCATGATAAATGGATGTTTAAGTTTTTAAGGTACTGATGTATTGTTTTTCAAAGTGGTTGTATATTTTTTCGTTTCTACCAGCAATCTACAAGACTTCCGATTGCTCTAACGTCTTGCCAACACTTGATGTTATCATCTGTTTAATGTTTCTATTTTAGTGGCTGCATAGTGATATCACATTATACTTTCAATTTGCATTTCCGTGCTGATGTGGAATGTTCAGCATCTTTTTATGTGCATATTGGCTATTTGCATAACTTTTTTTTTGGTGAAATGTCTTTTCAAATATATTGCCTGTTTTTCAAGTGCATTGTCTTATTACTGAGTTGTAATAGATTTTAAAATACATTCTATATACAAGCCCTTTGTCAGATATATTTTTGAAAAATATTTTCCCCAGACTGTGGTAAATTTATACTTTTGGATGCTTATATGAGGGTACTTCAAAAAATTTGTGGAAAAATAGAATTAAAAGATAACACTATGGCCAGATGCAAAACAAACAAAAAAGGTTATACGAATATTTCCATGAACTTTTTGAAGTTCTCTTGTATTAGGAAAGAAGGAAGGAAATAAAATAACAGAGGAGTTTCCACTTCCAGGAAGATGGAGTAGACATAGCTTTCTCTATGCCTCCTGCTAAGAACAACTGAAAACCCTGGACATTACATATAACACAAACAAAAGAAGACTCTGAAAAGTGGGGAGAAGAAGGCAGAGGCTTGGGATCTGGAGACCCAAGGAACAACATAATGGTGAATTTCCTGGGTTTTCTTTTTGCCTACTAAACCCCAGACTTGGAGTGGAAGAAGCAGGCAATGTGGAAATGCCAACAGGAACAAACAAACAAAAAAACCTCAACAAAATCCTGCAGGAAAGGATCAGCCTAGCAAGGCAAAAACTTTTCAGACAATAACTGCTCTACCCCAGCCAAACACCACAGGGAATCTGTGACCCCACCCCCACCAACCTAGGCTGAGTGAAGAGACTAGACTTCCACCCTCACCAGCTGTAACAGTGTGTCCCAACCTCCTCACTGGAGTGGTGGCCGAGAAGGTTGAGAGGGAGCTAGGACTTTTGTCCCATCTGGCTAGTAATGACCCTTTTCTCCCCCACAAACATGTCAACGACCACAGGGGGAACCTGAAATTCCACCCCACCTGACAGTAATGAGGCACCCATTCCCCTTTCTGCTGTGACGTTCCACCACCCAGCAGTGACAAGGACATCCCCCTCCTGTGGTGCCAATGGAAGCCTTGTGGGGAGTAGAAACAAGGCACTTCCACCCTCCCAGCCAGGGAAATGTCAGTGGAGGTCTAGTGGGACTGAAACGCCCACCACTGTCCATCAGTAACGAGAAGTCCCCCACCTCAGGTATTAATGAAGGCTGAGGAGGGGAACCTGGACTTCTACTTTCATCTGGTAGTAATGAGGTGGCATCCCCACTTCCCTTGCCAGACTAGTGACAGAAGTCAGCTAAAACGGAAGGAAAAAAAGGGTGATGTGTAAAATTATTCAAAGAAGTAACAGTTGAAAAATTGGCAAAAGAATAAATCTACAGATCCAAGAAACTGAGTGAACTCCAAAAAGGATGTACTAGTCTGTTTTTTGTTGCTCATAACAGAATACCTGAAACTGGGTAATTTATAAGAACAGAGGTTTATTTGACTTATGATTCTGGGACAGCTGCATCTGGCATGGGCCTCAGGCTGCTTCTACTCATGGTGGAAAGTGGCAGGGAGCTGGTGGGTACCAGCAGATCACATGGCGAGAGGAAGCAAGAAAGGGAGAGGAGGCGCCAGGGTCCTATAAACAACCAGCTCTCATGGGAACTGACAGAGAGAGATCTCATTCACTACCCTCCCCACCTGGGCGTTAATCTATTCATGAGTGATCTGTCTCCCTAACCAAAACTGCTCCCAACATTGCCAAGTTGGGGATCAGATTTTGACATGAGCTTTGGGCAGACAACACATCCAAACTCGATCACAGGATAAACCAAAGAAATCCACACCAAGATATATCATAGTCAAACTTCTGAAAATAAAAGACAAAGAAAAAAATCTTAAAAGCAGCAAGAGAGATATGAACCTTACCTACAGAGGACAAATCAAATGATAGCGCCATTTCTCACCAGAGACCACGGAGGTCAGAAAGAAGGGGCACAACATTTTTTAAGCACCGAAAGAACAGAATCCTAAATCCAGTGAAAATATCTTTCAGGAATGAAGGGGAAATCAAGACCTTCTTACGTAAGGGAAAACTAAGAGAAGAATTTGTTGCCAGCAGACCTACTCTAAAAGAATGACTAAAGAAAGTTCTTCAACAGAAAGGAAGTGATAAACAGAGGAATACTGGAAGGACCATCAGGAAGGAAGAAATAACACAGCAAACAAAAATATAGGTAAGTGCAGTCGACTCTTATTCCTCTTGAGTTTTCTAAATTATATTTGACAGTCGAAGCACAAATTATAACACTGTCTGATGTGGTTCCAAATGTATGTACAGGAAATATTGAAAGCAATAATATTATAAACAGGGTAAAGTAAAGGGACATAAAGATAAGCAAGGTTTCTATAGTTCACTGGAATTGGTAAAATCATAACATCAGTAGACAATGATAAGTTATGTATATATGACTGTACTTCAAAAAGTTCATGGGAAGATTTGTATTATCTTTTAATTCTTTAAATTTTCCCCGAACTTTTTGAAGTACTCTCATACAATGTAATATCTAGAGCAAGCACTAAAAAAGCCACAGAAACAGCAAAAAGCAACTCAATTCAAAAATGGGCAAAGGACTTGAGTAGACATTTCTCCAAAGAAGGTATATTGATGGCCAATAAGCACATGAAAAGATGCTCTACATCAATAATTATTAGGAAAATGTACAGCAAAATCATGAGATACACTTTACACCCATTTGTATGGCTATTATAAAAAAACAACAACCCAAAACACACAGAAAATAAGTGTTGGCGAGGATGCGAAATTGGAACCCTTGTGCATTGTTGGTGGAAATGTAAAATGATGCATTGTCTGTGGAAAACAGTATGGTGTTTCCTCAAAATAAATAAATAAATAAATAAATAAACATAGAATCACCATATGATCCAGCAATTTCACTTCTGAGTGAATACCCAAAAGAATTGAAAGCAGAGCCTCAGACAGATATCTGTATGCCCATGTTCATGGCAGCATTTTTTACAATTGCCAAAAGGTGGAAACAACCCAATGTCTATCAACAAATGAGTGGATAAACGAAAATGGTATATGCATGTATGGAATATTATTCAGCCTTGAAAAGGAATGAAGTTCTGACACATGATACAATGTCAATGAACCTTGAGACATGCTACGGGAAATAAGCCAGTTACAAAAGACAAATATTCTGTGATACCACTTAGCATGAGGTACTTAGATTAATCAAATTCATGGAGACAGAAAGTAGAGTGGTTGCCGGAGGCCAGAGGAGGAGGAAATGGGGAGTTATTAGTTCGTGGATACAGAGTTTCAGAATTATAAAACTTCTAGGGGAAAAAAAAAATGCGAGAAACTCTCCGGGATCTAGGGCTATGCAAAATTTAAAATGTTTACGCTGTGAAAGAGACTTTAAAAGGATGAAAACACAAACTACAGACTGGGAGAAATATTCGCTAACAACATATCTGACAAAGGACTGATATCTAGAATATATAAAGAACTCCCAAAACTCAACAGCAAAAAGCCAAACAATCCAATTAGAAAATAGGCAAACGGTGGGAAGACATACAAGTGTACTTGAAAAAGTTCTTGTGCCAGCTGGTTGGCTCGATTGGTTAGAGCGAGATGCTGTAACACCAAGGTTACGGGTTCGGATCCCCTTACCAGACAGCCAGCAGTCAAAAAATATCCGTGGAAAATAAAATTAAAAGATAATAAGAATCTTTCCACGAACTTTTTGAAGTTTCCTCATAGTTCACCAAAGGAGATATACAGATGGCAAATTAGCACATGAAAAGATGTTAAACATCATTAGCCACTAGGGCAACAGAAATTAAAACTGCAATGAGATATCACTACATCCCTATCAAAATAGTTAAAGCTAAAAGAGAAAAAGAAAAAAAAGCTAAAAGAGAAAAAGAAAAAAAAAGCTGGCAAGGATGTGGAGAAACTGGATTGTTTATGCGTTGCTGATGGAAATGTAAAATGGTACAGCCACTGTGGAAAGCAGTTTGACAGTTTCTCTAAAAACTAATCATGTAACTTCCAAACCACCCAGCAATTGCGCCCTGTACATTTATCCAGGAGGAGAGAAAAGGCTCCTCTGGGCTCCAGCCCACAGTTGACTCACCCACCTTGGGAGAAAATGAGGAACAATATCCACAGCAGTATCAGCTCCCACCGAGCGCGTGCTCCGCCAGGCACCGCGCTAAACACGTGGCGTGCACTTGTCTGGTCGAGGCTGTTGTCATCACTTCCACTTGCAAGTTCAGAGGCCGTGGCTCAAGGTCACGCAGTGACGGTCGGAATTTGAACCCAGGTCATACTAATAAGCTCCTTACATCCTCACATTGTCATTATCAGCCATTCCTCGGGCGGCGAGTACAGTGGCAAGGACAGGTTGAGCCCGTTGCGCCAGCCCACACAGCCGGGAAGCCGCGAGCCTGTACCCCAAGGCCACGCCGCCTCTGCGGCTGGGCTCCGGGTCCCCCAGTTCGCGTGCCCAACTTTCCCCAACTTTCCCGGGCCCTTTTCCCCAGTCGCAGCGGCGCAGGCACCACCCTTTGCCGCCTGGGGGAGTGGGGAGAGGGCGGGGTCCCAGGCGCAGTCCCCTCCCAGACCCTCCCCCGACCCTCCCCCAGGCTTTAAGCCGGCGCCGGGGCCGGGCGGTCCAGTCCCGGCTGGCCCGCTCCGCCGGGTGACCGCGCCGATGGGGGCGCTGGCGGCGCTGGCCAAGAAGTTGTGGAGCGCGCGGCGGCTGCTGGTGCTGCTGTTCACGCCGCTCGCGCTGCTGCCGGTGGTCTTCGCCCTCCCTCCCAAGGTAACGCCTCCTCTGCCTGTGCGCGCCACCGGCAGGACCCTCTCCTGCCAAGCCTCTGAGGCGGGAGACCGCCGAGGTCCCGGTCTAGACAGCCTTTCCCGGACCCCCCTCAACCCTCTCTCCCCTTTAACCTGCCTCGGAGCCGTGAACGCCCCCAGCTCCTGTTGACCCTTCTCGAATGCTCTTTGGAGCCTGAGTTCCATCCAGCTTTCTGGAGCTTCTAACTTCTGCAGGAATGATTTCTTTTTTGAGCTCGAACTATGTGCTTGGCACTGGGTTGCACATTTCGCTTGACAGTCGCAATGAACACTTAATGACCAAGCTGTGTGACCTGGGGCGAGTCACTTAACCTCTCTGAAATTCAGTTTACTCGTTTGTAAAAATGGGGTAATGATAGTGCCAACCCATAGCATAGTGGTGAATATAAATGAGGTAATATAGGTAAATCTCTTAGAGCTAAGCCTGGTACACAGCAAGTGCCTAATAAGCGCTAGCTGATCTTTTTCTGCAGTAGGCCCATACTTGATGGGGAAAGCTAAGATTTAATGAGCACTTACTAGGGGTAAGACTTTGCCTTATGTGCATCACTTTATTTAATCCTTTCAGTGCCCCTCAGAGGGGGAGGATTATTTACCCCATTTTCCAGAAGAGAAAATCGAGGCTCAGAGAGAGGAAGTGACTTGCTGAGACTCACACAGCAAGTTACTGAGTTGGGATTCAAACTCTGGCTTGTCGGAATCCAGAAGCCTAGCTATTTCCAGACTCCCAAAGAAAGTAATTCCTATAAGATCGAAGGCTGCAGGTTGAGTTCAAGAGTCCTGACAAAAGTCAACAACAGTGGGGGCTGGAAGTAGATGGCACCATAGGTCCCTACTGAGTCCCTCACCTGTGTCCAGCCCGTCTTGGGCATCATGGAAGGGCCCTAAGCTCATAAGACAAGGCTTCTACCTGCGAAAAGTTGCTTCGCCATCCCTCAGTGAAGTATTAGGTGTTCACAAAAATAAAAGTAAAGAGAAGGTGTAATTTAGTGGTATGTTATCTAGCATCGACCATCTGAGACCAGGGGGAGCTGCCTGGAGGAAGGGGCCCTGCTTGGGCACAGGGAATGAAGAGGTGATACCAGGTCGTTCCAAGGAAATCCAGGGCCAATACACAAGCAAGTTCTTTAGTGTGGAATTATCCAAGCTGTTAAACTTTCTTGACATAGAAGAGGAAAAAAATGATTAGGTCACCTTTTCAAAAACCAGCCCATCCTGAGTCACTTGCTGACCTGGAGACCTTGGGTCATCCTCCTTTCTCTTCTGGGTCTCACTTTCCTTGTCTGTAAAATGGGACAATCACCATGTTAGCTCCTGGGGATTGATGTGAAGGGCTGAGCAAGGCTTTGTAAAACATCTTTGGTGGAAGGATGCATGGGTGAGGCTTGATTGTTGTCTGTGAAGCCCCAGGCAAAGCTCCAAGCAAGAAGAGATGAAACACACAGGCTTTAGCAGGGGTTCTGACAGCTTCTCTCTGCTCTGCCTCGACCAAGACCGTAAACCCAGGAGGAGATCCAAGTGTTACGAGGCCTGAAGCATGTACTATTTGAGGGGTCTCTTTAAAAAAAAGGATACAGATTTACAAATACAAAATCCAGTACAGGGTTTAGGAGAGGCTCCCCCGCTCAAGCTTCATTAGCTTCACAGGGAATCCTCTTCTGTGCATGCTGAATGGAGGGCAGGGAGAGGTAACGTGAATGCCATACCCTCTGTGATGGTGGTGAACCTGATGAGGAAGAGGCTTCATTGAATGCTTAGCTCTTGCTGTGTGCTAGGCTCCATGCTAGGAGCTTCCCAAGCATTGTCCCATGTAATGTCCATGACCACCAGGGAGGCAGCTGCAACATGCATCCCTATTAGGTGAGGAAACAGAAGCTCAGCGAGGTTAGGTGACTTGCCCAAGGTCACACAGCTGGTACAAAGCTAGAATGCAGAGTCTATACTTCTTTTTTTCTTGACCAGTAAGGGGATCGTAACCCTTGGCTTGGTGTTGTCTGCACCACGCTCAGCCAGTGAGCGCACCAGCCATCCCCATATAGGATCTGAACCCGCGGCCTTGGCGCTACCAGTGCCGCACTCTCCTGAGTGAACCACGGGGCTGGCCCCAGAGTCTATACTTCTAATGGCTGTGCTTTGCACACTTTGCTTAGTTATAATTCAATGAAAACTGTTCCCTGTTCCTTACCGTTCCCTGGTGGAGACCCTTTGTGTGGCCCTAGATGTCACTGCTGCTTTAAGTGACTGATAAGCCAGGGTCTCCTCCCAGGAGGCAGGTCCGGCTACTTGGGGGATTTTAGCCTCCCTCAAAATCTCTATTGGCATACCTGAAGCCTCCTCCCCCTACAACAATATTTACACAATATTATCATCATTATTACATTCTTGGATATTAAGAACTGACATGTTTCTCAATCTAATGTACATGGTGAATAAAAGTATCCTTAGAAAACATTGCTGTTTTTTTTTTTTTTTTTTTTTTTTTTCTTTTTT